TAAATATATTTAATAATAAAGAGCGCCACACGCGCCCCATGGTGCTTCACCTGGGATAGATAAAAAAAAAAAAAAAAGAAAACCTATAAGTATAATTTAATGTTATCACTAGTATCTAAGATTTTAATGTGTGAATCCAATCAATTTTCTTTATTTCAGAAATCAAGCAAATTGGTTAGATTCACATATTCAAATTTTAGACACAAATTATTATTTTTCACTTACAGCTTTTCTCTTTTCAGTATTTATGTATAGTATTAATTATTTTTTTACATATTTAGTAGCTTACAAGTTAATTATGCAGAGTTTTAAAATTTATGTTATATTTAAAACCATCAACTATTGTTTTAAGCTTCTGAGCATGGTTTAAGGCTATTATAAACAGTTTGTTTGCTAAAAACAATCATATAATAAATCATTTTTCCTACAGCTGATAATATGTTTTCTGTTGTTTTTCTATTCTATATCTGATTTTTCCATTTCATTTAAACTTTGTTATAATTCAATAATTTGTACTTTAAAAATCCTGATTTTTCTAGTTTACATAAACTTTCATTATACAACATGTCTCAAATTACTGTAATTAGTAATCTCTTCTAACCTTAATTAAGTAAACTAAAATCGAACCTCTATTGGCCTACTACTATGATTGTATGCCAAATTGGGTATTTGCAGTTGTTTAACTTTTCCTAGATTACATAGCATCAGAGAAAAACAAAAAAAATTAGTTGGCAGCATAATACAAAATAAATACTTTATAATCTACCTTTAAACTTAAAAATAATTGATTGTTAACAACAGTGCATGCTAATTCTTTTTTTTTTTTTTTTAAATATTAAGGTGAGTACTTGCAACTCAGGATTTTATTGATAGTACATTCAGCTAATAGTTGCTTTACAATCACAGGAGGCAATCATGAAAAGAGTGTACAACTAGCCACTTATACAACTTTAATCATTGTCTAATTTAAGTAGTCCACCTGAAGGTTCTACACTAGCTGCTATAACTGGAACCTGCTTGTAGGTTTCCTATTTAACCACTCTGTTCCCATATCCACCTACCTACCTACATCTACCAAAATGCCCTGGTTGATACTGGTTCAAATATACTATGGTCACTAAGTCTTTAAAGCAGTTTACTCATATGAAGAACCTTTGACCTTGCATTAAACCTTTCAAAATCTTCTGTATCCTATTCTTACAGCTGACCTAATATCACTATAGCTGAGACCAATACTGGTGGTCAGGGCATACCATTAAACTGCTATGCCTTTGTAGAGTTCACCCCAACCCTGGTACTAACTTCACAACATATTCTTACTACTTTGGTATTCAATTCAAGTTCTACCAAGCTGTTATTCCAGATAGTCCAGAAAGATAAGTCAAAACTATACACCTCTGGTTTTACATATTTGCCAGCATGTACTCTTTTCTTCCAGAATCTGGAAATTCTGGCAGCCTCGTTGGTTCATCTGGTCCCTCCTCAAAAACTGGCACATTTGCCTAGTTTTACAAGTTCTAGCTCTGTTTCATAAGTCTAGTCTTTATAGTAGCACTGTCAAAGGTTTAGGTTATCTCTCTACTTGGGTTTTCCAAGTGAGCTTCTATCTTTCTATCTGGTTTTCTTAATTTACATGGCCTAAGAACTTATTTTGGATTCACACTACCCAGTACCAGTTTGTGTTTCCTCGTACAATATTGTATAAGTGCCTAAACCTTCCAGTTATGCTAGTATGATATGGGTTACAGGTATCCTATTCTAACTAATCACAGAAGACAGTTAGTCATAACACAGAAAGAATTGCAAATTTTTACCATCACTGGAATTTGAACTCTAGACCTGCCACTTGAGGATTGATAACCTATCCACTTCACTAGGTCACCACACCTCTGTGCATGCTAATTCTCATTTTAGTTCATTTTTGTTATTGTGCAAATTATGAAACATAAGAAAGGAAAACTACCACATCAGCTTACTAAATACTTTTACATTATACCAAATGAGTGAACAAATAAAAGTAATCAAAAATGTGTTTGTAAAGCCTACATAGAAGTAGTAGAAAGGGATTTTGCTTTACAAAATGAAAGTATGAAAATTACAAATACTTTATATTATTGTGCTGATTATCTTAAAGGTTGTTCTTATTTTGCTACAAAACATTCATCTGAACAAATACAAAATATTATCAATTTGGCTATGTTTTCAATCTCAAAAAAACATGTAGCAGTGTCTTATGCAGAAGATGACAATAATGATAGTGCAATTTTAACAACATCAACTCATTCCACTAATTTATTATTTGTCTCTAATGATATTTTATCCTCTTTAAAAAACAAACAACATTATCACAATATGTTGGTCAACTACTTAATGCTTTTGAAGTTCCTAAATTTGAACACCTTGTACTTTGAGCTATGATTTTAGCTAGATTTGTATTCAAATAAATAGAAAATCCTAAAATTAAAGAATTATTTCAATTTGTTTCTCTATATCTAAAATTATCTGACTAAAGGTTACTTAGCAATCATATTTTAATGAATGCAATTAATAAAGTTCAAACAACAATTCAAGAACTTGCTTGCAAGGATAAAATCAGTATTACTATTGCCTTTGATAGTTGGTGCAATGTTGTAAATCAAGAATTGATAGGCATCATATTTGTTATATCCTTAGGAGAAACTTTAATTTGAGAAGCAAAAGATATTAGTATTAAAAGACAATAAAAAGAAGAAGTAATTTTTAGAATTCAGAATTTTTTTAAAGAGACAAAAAAATTAAATATAAGAGCAAACTGTCTTGTGACTGATACAGCTAGATTATATGCAGCAGCTTGTTATTGTTTAAGACATAAAATGTGTAACAAGGTGTTTATTTCTTGTTTTGCATATCAGACTAATTGTTGTGTTGATAATGTATTTAAAGAATCTGTAATATTCAAAAATACAAGTAAACATGCAATTCATATTGTTACTTTTTTTCACTACTCTGTATATTTTATAGCTAAGCTTCATAATAAACAAATGAATGTTTTAAAAAAATATATTAATATAGTTACACCAAGCATAACTAGATAAAATAGTTATTTTGAATGTTTGATAGCATTCTTAAAAGCAAGCATCTGTTAAAAGTAAGTTTTTTATTATTAAATTATTAAAAAATTTATTTAGTATTTACTAGAAATGAAAATCACTACTATATATTTATAAATGTTATATAATTTATTAAAATTTTTATTTTAATTTTTAAAGCAAATTAATTATAGTTAAAAATTATAGTTTTTAAAATGCTAAACATTTTTACTAGTTTATTAAATATTAATTATTAAAGTTGTTTTTAGAAATATAGTATATCTAGTAAATTTTACCTAAAATTATAATAAATTTTCTTTTAGACTCTTGTTACCAAAAATGATGCAGCCTTAGATGACGATTTGAAGCTTTCACCTAAGATTAAAGTTGTTGTTAATCATGATTCTTTTTGGAATTCTCTTGCAATATTATGTAATTTACTTCATCCTTTTTGTAGAGCACTTGATCTTATGCAGCATAACAAGACATGTCTTCATAATGTTTTACATGCCTTTAGTTTTTTTATAAAAATATTTAAAAAACTAGAGAAATCACAATTTTGAACCAAAATAATTAAAAAACTTAAAAAAAGATGGGCCACTTGGGAGCAACTATTGCTTCTTCTTTTCTTTGTTTTTCATCTTTTATATTGATTAGATTATTTGAATCAAATACAGTTGTATATTAATTTTATACATATAGGTGTGTGGCTATCATATTATTACAAGGCTTAGTTTGGTATTAATTCAAACTATTTACTTTATGAACTTGAACTTTACAAGTAACAAAAATATTTTTTTATTAAAGAAACTTTTAACTAATTTAAAGATGATATTGTTTTTAGATAGTCATATAATTCTGATGCAACACCAGAATTGAGTCATATTGCATGTTAATTATTTAGCATATGTATTACAACTGCCTCAGTAAAGAGATTATTTTCTACTATAGGTTTTTTACACTTTCTATTATGAAATAGACTAAATGTAAGTTACTATATATTTTTTAAATTATATTAGTATTGCAAGTAGATTGTTTCAATGATTATTATAACTTTTGCTATAACTTGCTGTAACTATTTTTGTAATATGTAATAATTAACATAAGTTACAGCATGTTTGCCATAACTTATGATAATTATTACATATTACAAAGATAGTTATAGTAATACAGTAAGTTATAGCAAAAGTTATAGCAATCATTAGGATGATCTACTTGCATCACTAAATTATATAATTTATTTTATTAATTTTTTAATTGTTTAATAGAATAAAAAAGTAATTGCAATGAGCCAACTACATGCAGAAATTTTATGAGCTCATAAAACAAAATTAAGCCTCTATATTCAATTAAATTATTCTTTTTCTGTTTCACATCCCTTCACTGATTCTGTTACTAATACTTCTTCAGCTTTTGAAGAAGCTGATGATGATGATATAAATAAAGATATTTCTTTAGAAGCCAATTGGAATGCTGTAACTAACAAATAAGAAGAATTGTTAATTGATGAAGAGTTTGAAGAGCAGGATAATCTTAATAATATAGCAATAGATTTTCTTAATTTGGAAACCCATTCTGCTGAAAATCAAGCTGCGAAGTGGAAATTGTATAATTTGTTTATATCTGATTTACCTTTTTTATTTGAAAATTCTTGAATTGTATATCAACATATATAAAGTTTAGTATAATATTTGAAGATTGAAAAAGTCTTATATGATAGTAAGTGAAATTAATTCTGAATCTACTTAAGTGAATTTGAGATCCCAAAATATCTTAAATATATAAAACTAGTAAAACATTTAATATTTTTGATTATATAAATAAACTATTTTTTGTTTATTGCTTATTTTTTCAATTAAGAATTTATCGATATATAATATTATAAGAGTAATAGCTACATAATATTATTCTCATATTTGCTTTTATAATTGAAATTTGTATAAGAGAGTTTCAGAATTAAAATACAGAAATCAAATTTTAATAGATATATTAATTTTTAAATAAGTGATGTATTGATAGCTATAATTTATTTATTAGTATCAAAATTTGGCTTGATTCTCTTACTTAATTAGCTCAACTTTCTTCATACAAGTCTTATCATAGCAAGCTCTAGTATAATAAACTATAGATCTTTAAATATTATATTAGTTTTGTGTAAAAGGCATGATAGGCATCTAAAAAAAATAATATATAGATCTTTTTTTTCTTTATTCTTTTGTGAAATGAAAAATAATGTGAATATAATGTAGTTTGATTGGTTAATTGTCATATGTTATATTGATAGTGTTAACCTGTAGTTTTTCCTTTAACTACAGTGATATCAGAAGCTGTTCAACTATAGTATGACGACTATAACTTGAC